CACTCACCTCAGCCTCCCAAAGCGCGGGATTACAGGCTGAGCCACCGAGCCCGGCTTATTCCACAACTTTTAATGCTGTCTGTGGTTTTACGCTTTGCTGCCTTTTCCCTTCCTGATTTATTTGTGTCTAGTTATAAAACCCACAGTTTCAAGGTTTATTGAAGTAAATAGAGAAGCAGTTGTTTGTACAGACAGCAAACTGGAAGGAAAAGGCTTAGAAGTAGCTTGTTTTGAGCGCCTGCTCATTCACCTTGGAAGAGTAGCTTCTTTTGGAAGGCGGGCTGGCTTTATTCCACCGGCTGTGGGTGTGGTTGCTGGTTGTCCAACCCTGTGCAGATAAGAGGGGGTCGTTGAATGTGTTTGGAACCAGCATTCAGTGTTCTTCAGAGCTCAGGAAGGTGTTTCTGTTGCAGGTTCTCTTTTACCTTGGCCAGTACATCATGACCAACCGCCTGTACGACGAGAAGCAGCAGCATATCGTGTACTGCTCAAACGACCTTCTGGGAGACCTGTTTGGCGTGCCCAGCTTCTCTGTGAAGGAGCACAGGTGAGCTCAAGTTCAGCTGAGGCCCTTGTCGAAGACCAGCGGGCGACCTTCAGTCCACCTCCACCCTCACTCACCTCGTCAGAGAAAAACGGTTCCTATGTGCACAGAGGAAGCTGAGATTTAACTCCTTAGCTCTGTAGTGTGTCAGTGAGCTCTGGCGTCTTGTAGAGCCGTGTTTGAGACCCGACTCGTTCGCTGGTGCCCTGTGGCAGGGTGAGTCGACATGGCCTCTACACCGAGTGTCCCCTTTGTAAAACATGGCCTCTATACCGAGTGTCCCCTTTGTGTAGTCCTGAGCGCGGAGTGAGCCCTCCCGCAGGGCGCTGCAGAGCAGCCACAGCTGTGAGATGCTTAAGCTGCTCTTGCACTCACCGCCTGCAACAGCCTCATACCGCCATGTAACAGCGGCTCAAGTCTGAGCCTCCTGTACTTTGGAAATCGTTTTCACGGCCGTGTTTCATTGTGGCACTTCATTCTAGAATTCCTCTTCCAGAACCGAGTGCTTCCTCGGTCATTCTTTCCTCACATTCAGAATTCCTTGCCACGTTTGTTGGAGCGCACTCTGTCTCAGCCTTGGCGCTTGTGTCTCAATAAGCAGGCTGAATGCTTTTCACCTGAAACAGTTCACTAGGTTCTGCCAGTACTTGGTGCTCAGTGATATTGATGTTTCCTATTAATAGCTAAAAAGATGGTAATTAAACCGAATATGTATAATTTTAAAACAACTTCATGGACATAAACACATTTGCATTGCTGGACTTGAGGAAAAGACAAAGAGCTAAGAAAAACAGAGGAAAAAGACTGTCGCTTACTACCAAAAGGCATTTTTGCGAGTCGCTTGTGTGTTGTGTGCAGGTGCGCAACTTAAGCTCGCTGTAAGCATAGTGCTATGTATAGTACTGTAAGAAGCAGCTTCTTTTTGAGTTGGAGTCCCGCTCTGTCACCCAGGCTGGAGGGCCAGGGCACGCTCACAACCTCTGCAGCCTCGACCTGCTGGGCTCTGGTGATCCATTGGCTTCAGCCCTCCAGGTAGCTAGAACTACAGGTTTGCGCCACCATGCCCAGCTAATTTATTGGTTTACTGAAGAGACAAGGTCTCACCGTGTTGCTCAGGCTAGTCTCGCACCCCTGAGCTCAGGCAGTCCTCTCGCCTTAGCCTCCCCAAGTGCTGGGATGACAGGCAGGAACCACCGTGCCAGGCCGAAGCAGCATCTTAATTTAATACATGTTAGCATCTTTTCACTGATAAACCACTTCTGTCTAATGTCCGTTCATGTTGTCATCTTATACTTTACCTTGGGGTACAAGATTTAAGTTTATAAATTTAGGAAGTAACTATCGGTGATTTTTTTGGGGACTTAACCTTTTGAATAATGACTCTTCTGATAATGTATGCAGGTGTAATTTCTGATATTGAAGGCATAATTTTAAAGTCATCTTTGACTTGAATTCTGAGTGTTGGGAGATTAGAAATTGGGGAAATTCCTGACTTGAAAAGGAAAGGGAGTGTTGTGCGTTTAGACTGTTGTGTCCTTATTCCCAGGACTGAAAAGAGCCTATTCAGGTTGGTACTTCCCCTCGACGCTGAGAATTAGAAACAATATTTTGTAACAAACATTCCCCAAGACTTTGGTTTTAAGGCAAAAGAAAAATGTATCGTGACATCGGTGAATGACGCAATAAACGGTGGTCTTCCTGTGGGGATGTGAACTCCATGAGGGCAGAGATTTGTTTCGGTTTCATTCTTGGTTTTCCCCAGTGTTTACAACAGTGACTGGTCCTTTTTTTTTTTCTGAGTCAGAGTCTCACTCTGTCGCCCAGACTGGAGTGCAGTGCCACGTTCTCAGCCACCGCAGCCTCGACCAACTGGGTTCCCGTGATCCTTCTGCCTCAGCCTTCCAAATAGCTGGAACTACCGGCGTGTGCTATCACACCCGGCTAATTTTTTGATTTATTGTAGAGATGAGGTTTCGCCAAGTTGCTCAGGCGGGTCTTGAACCCGCGGACTCAGGCAGTCCACACACCTCAGCCTCCCAAAGCCTGGGATTATAGGCTGAGCCACCGAGCCCGGCAGTGACTGGTCCTTAATAGATTCTCAGTCTGTAGCTGTTGAATGAATCAATGCTGTTTCATCTGTTAATGCATTTTATTTTGTTGTATTTTTTGAGTTGGAGTCTCACTATGTCTCCCAGACTGGAGTGCAGTGGCACGCTCACAGCCACCGCAGCCTCGACCTGTTGGCCTCAGGCGATCCTTCTGCTTCAGCCCTTCAAGTAGCTGGAAGTATAGGCACGTGCTCTCACACCTGGCTCATTTTTTTGCTTTACTGTAGAGATGAGTTCTCAAGTTGCCCAGGCTGGTCTTGAATCTGTGGGCTCGGGCAATCCTCTTGCCTCCGTCTCTCAAAGTGTTGGGATTGCAGGTGTGAGCCACCGCACCCAGCCTGTTAATTTTAAGTCCAAGATAGAAGAACCATTGGATGACCAGTCTAAGGTTGCGAGTTCTGTTTAGTGGGCTTTGCATAGTTCAGTACTTTCCTGGACAGTTTGCCTCCAAGCACAGAGCTGGGAGGATTTCTTTTTTGTTTGAAAATTAATATTTAGCCGAGCTCGGTGGCTCAGCCTGTAATCCCAGCGCTTTGGGAGGCTGAGGTAAGTGGATTGCCTGAGCCTGCGGGTTCGAGACCCACCTGGGCAACTTGGTGAGACCTCATCTCCACAACAAATCAAAAAATTAGCCAGGCGTGGTAGTGCGTGCCTGTAGTTCCAGCTACATGGAAGGCTGAGGCGGAATGATCGCCGGAGCCCAGCAGGTTGAGGCTGCGGTGGCTGGGATCGGCCACTGCACTCCAGTCTGGGCAACAGAGTGAGATTCCTACTCAAAAAAAAAAAAAAAAGAAAATTAGTATGCTAACTTGCTTCCTCTTGCACACCCATTTTTTGGGGGTCTTTTGGTAAAGTTCAAGCAAAGCATACTTGAGATGTGAAAGCTTTCAGCTGGTGGTTGTTAAAAGTAGCTGCCTGTAGTCATTATGCTACTAATTATTGTGCTTTTGAGGGCCTAGACACTTGCTAGTGATATAATTTGAACATGATGATTTAAAATTTAGTTTTTTGGGGTTTTTTTTTATTTTTTTGAGTTGGAATCTCACTCAGTCGCCCAGACTGGAGTGCAGTGGCTGTTCCTGGCCACCGCAGCCTTGACCTGCTGGGCTCCGACGATCCTTCCGCCTCAGCCTTCCAAGTAGCTGGAATTACAGGCGTGCGCTACCACGCCCGGCTCATTTTTTCTTGATTTATTGTAGAGATGAAGTCTCGCCAAGTTGCTCAGGCGGGTCTCGAACCCGCCGGCTCAGGCAATTCAATCACCTTGGTCTCCCAAAGCGCGGGATTACAGGCTGAACCACTGAGCCCGGCCTAAAATTTAGTTTTGAATGTGTACAGTAGTTCATACTAAATTTGCATTTAGAAGTCTAGTTAAATCCAGTTTAATTCATTGTCATTTAAAAATGCTCGTCTCTTGATTTTTTTTTTTTTTTCCTCCCTAAAAGGAAAATATATACAATGATCTACAGAAACTTGGTGGTAGTTAACCAGCCGGGTAAGTTAATTTTGAACATCCTGAACATATGCCATGAAAACATTTCAAAAACTTTTTTGTGTATGTGCATGCATTTTATAATTGTGATTTTCCTTAAAAGTTGCTTTAATTATATACTAATTAGAATAAAAGTATGATAAATTTAATAGGAAGAAGTTCACAGGAACTCAAACAGCATTATACTAAGGTTCTGATGTAAAGTTAAATGTCCTGTATATCAACTTAAGCCTGGGATATCAGGTCAGGATTTGTTTTAAAAGGCAGATGGTTTCTAAAGCTCCTGCTTAGTAGACGTGGGAGCAGACCTTTGAAAATGGATCAAACGACTCTGGAGATAATACGGTGACCTGGACAGGACCATTTGGAAGCATGGAGGATGGGTCTTTTTTTTGGGGGGGGTACCAGACAAAACTCTGTTTACCCATTTCTGTGGGTGAGTGGCGTTTTGTACCCCTACTAGCAGTTCTTAACTTGTCATTGTTGGGCCACGTCTCCTTTTGATAACCTCTTGAAAACTCTGGGTTTCACCAGATGATCAGATTCTCTCTGTCATTCCAGAGAGCTGCATGTACACACATACATTGGTGTGCACATAGATGTTTATCAACCGCTCTCCCTAGGAAAAGCCCTGAAGCGGTGCTTGCTGGTGTCTGTGGTGTAAACGCCCGTCTTCAGGTGACACACGCGGTCGGGAGGAGTTGCACACCTGCTGCTGAATGCTGGCGGGCGCCGTCTCCGGCCCACCCCGCTGCCCCAGCCCATCCATAGCTGCTCAGAAGCGTGTTCAGCTCCCGGGATGAACTGACTGCTCCTGTGTGCTCCCTCTATCCACGTTCGGACTGTGTTGTCACGTTGCTTAGGTGCCCCTTGTCTAGTTTCTGTGACCTGGTCCCACTGAGGCTTGCTTTTTGCTGCGCCATCTTCGGCAGATGCTTAGTAAGAGTGTTGAACCGAATGCTTACGCTTCCCGAGTTGGGGTTTAAAACCTAGAGAAGCGTATCACTGTCTTATCCCAGAATAACAGTGGTTGTTAAACTGGTGACTGGGCATTTTATTGTTTTACAACTCTTTAAGAAATCCAGTGATGGCAGAGTATACACTTCTAGTACTTGGAGAACTTTGAGTTTTCTTTTTTTTCTTTTTGAGTTGGAGTCCTACTTTGTCGCCCAGACTGCAGTGCAGCGACCGCTCCCGGCCACCGCAGCCTTGACCTGCTGGGCTCCGGCGATCCTTCTGCCTCAGCCTTCCAAGTAGCTGGAACTACAGGCGCGCACCTGGCTGATTTTTGATTTATTGTAGAGATGAGGTCTCACCAAGTTGCCCAGGCAGGTCTCAGACCCGTGGGCTCAGGCAATCCACTCACCTCAGCCTCCCAGGGCGCGGGATTACAGGCTGAGCCACTGAGCCCGGCCGAACTTTGAGTTTTCTAAAGTACATGTCCCAGGTGTATTCATTCATTCCTTCACTTATTTAAATAAATTTTGGCCGATTACTAGGAGAATCATATTAAGGAGATGGTGACCTGTCAGTGACGTAGGCTAGTTCCATTCTGAGTTAGTTTTAGGCTTCAGCTGAATTCCCTCCAGAACTCATCTGCGTTCTCGACCTCATCACACCTGGCATTTCCTTTTAGTGCAGTTTTTGGGCAATGTCCCCTTTACATCCTAAACCAGACTATCTGGGTGGCATGACCTGTGTGGGTGCACAGCTTAAGAATATCAGCCTGATGCCTACCAGGGAGAGAGGCTGTTATGGTACTGTGTGGCGATGTGTAACTTCAGGATGCTAAAGGTCAGGCGTGTGTTCACTCTGCCCCTCCAAGGGCGTAGTGAAGGGTTGCTGGTGAAGATCTTGTGTGTGTCCTGAGTCAGAAACACTTTCGAGCCCTGGTCCGTGCATCCAACGACAAACCACAGTGTCTGCCTGAGTCTCCCTGGATTCCTCTGTCACCTTTTTGGGCCACGTGTTTATTCAAGCCTGGTGGACTGTCAGGTCCTTGGTGCCATCCTCCTCCCGTGTGTCAGGCACTGGCCTTCTCGTTTCTTGAGGATTGGCCCTCTCCGTGCCCAGCCTTCGCTACTTGGTCATTTGCATGTGGCAGGCAGTGTCAGCATCAGCTGCCCTGCCCCCTCTTTGTTCTTCTGTTTTGCCGACTGATTTGTCCCTTTTTTGCTAAATTGGCAGTTTTGGGGTTCACTGTTGCTCCCTGGGCGCAGTACTTCCTTTGAGCTAGGAAAGCTGTTTTATCTCTTGGACTAAGACCCTTGCAGTGGTGAGTGGCTCCAACGTTGCCTTAGGGGAGGGTCTGAAGGACCCAGTGACGACAGCCTGACCCTGCGTGTGCCCGGTGATTGTGACCACCTGTGGCCCTCTCACAGGAGTTGCTGTTCCCTCTGGGTGGTCAGGTCTGGAATGTCCTCCCCGCTCTGCCTCTGCCACCGACGTCTCTGAGCCTTCTCTCCTGAGCCCTGCCTGTCCCACCAAATCCTCCCTGTTCTGTCTTCTCTGCTGTTTTATCTTGTAACACTTCTCGTAGTGTATTTGTTACACGTTATAATCACTCTTTTGTGCATCCTCTGTATTAAAATTGGGCTATCTTTTAATGCCTGCGTACTTGGCGTGGGCCTGACACCCAGGAGGTACACTCAGTGCTTGGGGAAGGTCACGTCGTTCCTGGGTTTGTGTTGTCCGCCCCTCCTTGTTGCTGATCCCTGCTTTTGTTTCCTCTCAGAACCCTCAGCCTCTGGCACATCTGTGAGTGAGGATGGGCATCACCTTGCAGGCAGGAGTGATCCAAAGGTAATCTTTAAATACGTTCCTCATTCTAGCATAATGCTTTTTAAAAATCGGGAAAACGAAAAAATACTGGCTTCCTGGTGTTACGTGTCGTTTGTTGCATTTTATTTGTTTTTCTGGAATACTTAGGACCCTGTGCTGGAGCTACAGGAAGAGAAGCCTTCGTCTTCACAAGTGGCTTCCAGACCTTCTGCCTCATCCAGGAGGAGGGCCGTCAGTGAGACAGGTACATATGGATGCTGAGGGCACGTTCAGACGGCCTTTCAGGGTGCTCTCTCCAATGGAACCGGTGCTTGTAGGCTTAATGGAATGGCTCTTTTTTTGGTTTCGATGAATGAACTTCTAAGTTTTTTTCATTCTTGATTTTATTTGGTTTACAGACGCTCTTTTAGCAAATTTTTCTGGCCACCTGTGGCAGGGGCAGTTTACTGGTTCCCGTGGAGGTTACGGCCAGCCTCTTAAGGTGATAGGGATAAGGACGGCAGCTCTGTTTGTCATTCTTCTTTTTTTTTTTTT